GGGTGACCCATTGGTGGAAGTTAAACTAATTTGTCTAATTGCTAAAACTCTCTATTTTCAAGGGGAATCGAATCGAGAGATCGTGAGGGTCTATCATTAGGATGACATTGGTTATGATAGTCCCCACATGCCCTACACAAAAGAGATGCAGGAAGGAACTGTAGCATCACCAGAAAGAACTTTCTAATGATGAATTTAAACTTGTTTTAATCAATTCTTAGTCCTCTTTCGAGCCCACCGAGAGTATCCAAACTGCCCGTCAATCATTTTCTACACATAGGCAGTTGCAAAAAGAGGAGCGTGTTTATGAATAGTATATTGAACTTTGTATTTAATAAGGTTAATGAAATTTATAATAAAGATTTTCAAGAGGGTGCCATTTTATTTTCTAAAATTTATTTATCGTGTTATTTACTATAGTTTTAGGTGGGTCCTTGAGTAAATTATTGCTTAGCCATGTGCAACCGATTTTGGACAATCTATTTATCAATGATAAGTTCCACGGACTTCTCCCTTGTTTTGTACCCAAAGCTTCCAATTTTTTTTGGTTTATTTTAATAACTTTGGCGCTTTTGAATAAATAATTTAATTTTTTTTTTTGGAGTTTGAGACTTTCCTCTTTCTTTTATTTTTTTTCCTTTTTTGTCTTTTTGTCTATATTCATGTATGATGCGGAATGGCAGTTGTTCGAGTCAAGGAAGCCAGTGTTGGGAAGCATGTGAAAGAAACAAAGCATAGGCTTGCCTTTCTTGAAGAAAACAATGGCTAGCCACTACCACCTGATAAGACATTATCGGTAGCCAAAAATCAGAAATTAAGAGAGCTTTGACCGAATGTCGCTTTCTCTGTTGATTAGTGAAAATTAATGGAAAATTTTGATTTAATGTATAATGTGATCCCTGAATTTTTAGTTTGTTCAATGTATTTGTGCAATATGATCCAATTTAGTCCGCAAACTATATGAAAATGTTTAATGTTGACAACATTGAACATTTTAATATAATACAGAAGCTACGTTGAAAATATACCATATTGAACAAATTGAAAGTTTAGGGATAATATTACACATCGGGTTAAAATTCAAGAATTATTTGTGACATTACTCCAAAATCGATTAAACCAACCCGGTTGATGTGAATTAGATAAATCATAATATTGCTAGATATCATCGACATTCCACTCGGTAAACAATCAAGTTTCACCCGATCTTTATAGATCGGATCTAATTAAGGATTGCTCGGTTATCGGTGATCCAATTGATAAGAAGAATGAGATGGAAGGGTCCATGGAGAAAAAAGGGCATATTGAAATTTCCATGGTTTTCATATTATTTAGTATCTACCCATGTCTTGGAATTTTAAAAGGACTGAAATTACTTCTGGGGTCTAAAAAGTTGGGGAATAGAGTGTTGGAGTGGGTCTCTCTTGAAAGATCATCGTTCACTATAATTTATAGTTCCAAATAAATAAATGGAAGTTCTAAAGCAAAAACCATGTATTATATCATAACCACACCATGTGCGAGGCAAAAGAAACACTATAAAGGTGGGGAATTTTCGCGTCTCCAAGAGATGAATCGAGGAGGATGACATGTTACTTGGCCTTGGGATTTTGTGTCACCCTATGCCAATATATATATATATATAGGTCAAGAGCCTACCCGCATTTGAAAAATAGATAGTCACGTTGATTTCCACATTGGGGACGCCCAAATCGATGTGAAAGAGAGATGAAATGAAAGTTCCTTTTGGGATTTGGATGGAAGCAGGGGCGTGTGCGTTTATTGAGACACTTGTCTTCTTCGATGGTGCTGCTCTGCGATTGATCGTAGGCCATGGCTTTCTAGAAGTACATTTGAGTCAATTTGATTCTAAGGAAATTCCTTGCATGTGCAACAATGGTTCCTCAAAGACTAGCTATCAAATGAGAGAGAGAGAGAGAGAGGGGTTATACATGTTTAAAATTGATGTTTTTCAAGATCGTTGAGTCGACCGGACGAGCGACACGTGTGAACTCTTCGTTACATTTTCACATTAGCAATAAACCCATCAATTGTTGACTTCTTATATATTCCGTGAAAAGTTCAATTAGAGCAACTCCTTTCACTAGTAGCTACTCTTTTAAAATAAGCACATTGTGCCATGTGAAACTTTCAATTAGACCTGTTGCATCGACAGGAATTATGGGGAGCACAGCAAATGTACTTTACATCCTTCAATGTTCGAAGGGTCGTCGCATTTCCCTCGAAGTTTTACCGAGTTTCCACTAGCCAAACATGACAAGACTAAAAAGATCAAGAAATCACGATGTTCCAATTACACGACACGAACAAGTCCACAAAAGAAGAAGAAAAAGGCATCTACGGGGAGACAACATATCCTAAGAACACGAGGCTATGTTGTGGGGCTCATTCATTCGTGGTTTGAATTTTGCTTTGTCTCCATATGCATGCAAAGCGTGGTCCTCCATCTCCTGGTCTACTCAAAATGGAGAACGAGGGCAGTGCTATCCATTTGAATTTCCACTCAAGATTTGATATCAATATTAGGTTTAGGGTCGAGAATCTGTCGAAGAGGACCACGTTGGGTGGTGGGATTCTTGAACCCCTCCTGTTTCACGCCTAACACCGGCTCTTGTCTTGCTTGCACGAGCATGAATTCTTTAGCGTGAAAACTTACCGAGGGCATCTCCCGATCGTGTTAGAATCAAGAACATCCCATTCTCTGATCACGAGTTCGACACCCTTCTTTTCTTCCCTGGTCGAGAGAGCATGCGCGGAATAATAACCCACGGGCAGCACATCTACTGACGACATGACGCTGCTTGTCGAAGCGGACGTGCAATGAGTCGATCGGAGACCCGCTTCACGAGAACAAAGGCTAAGGTGTTCTTCCAAGATAAAATCCCAAGCACATGTTAATGCTCCGGGAATTAAGGTGGGACATTGATGTTGCTCTTCGTTGGTCCATGACCAAATATGGTCGTTTGACCAAAACTTCTTGTCTCCCCCATTTGTTTAATCTTTGTTGGTAATGGTAAATTGTCTCTCTCGAAGTGCGCAGTGCGAGACTGATGCAAACAAAGAAGATAGCGCCCTCTTTTTCTTCCAGATTTTCCTCGTACATGTCTAGGGCATGGACATGGACGACCAGCGGAAAAAAGGTGATTCCGATGCGATGGAAATGCTGGGTTAGTGGCATCAACGTTCTACCGAGCATCCACGCTCTGACAGCGACTTCAGTTTCGTTCACTACAATAATAAATAAATAATTGTGCTCTTGTCTTGGTTGGCCCTCTTGTTGAGTGGAATCTTATTGCACGGGTTATTGTTGACTTCCACAGAAGTAACAAAAACAGATAAACGTACAAATATCTTCATATAACATACGCTCTCTAATGAGCACTGCATTTCATTTTATGCTACAAAAAAAAAAATGAAACTATGCAAAGTTAATGCGGGTATCACGAATTCTCGATTATTAAGCGACCAATCATAACAAGGAAAAGAATTTACGGCACGACAGTGAAATCAAATATCACCTAAAAAGAGCTTCTATGGAGATTTAGACCGAAGATATGATGGAATCAACATTATCTTTAGAGAGGAGCCGCCAATCAAGACGACTTGGCAATCTGAAACGAAAGAAAAGGTCTCTCTATTTTATTTAGATATTCAGTTGAATTTAAATCAATAATTAATTACAGAAACAAATAGCAACAGCCAATTCATCCCGATGCGCGATTTTTACTTTTCAATAGATTTACATCTTTCATAGACGGAGAATTTTTTTAGCACCCCAATTAGACGTAATACTCCTCGAACATGGCCATACGAGCCTCTATTTGCAGAAGACCACTGCCAAGATGGTTCTAAAGCTCATGGATGTAGATGAGACAGTGACAGGCTTTAAGTCCTAATGAGTTCATACGAAATATACAGTGACTCGGATAAGCTTCAGCGAACTGCCATCCACCTCTCATCGGAAAAACCATCGCCAGGGCCACCAACTTAAAGCTCAATGCTCTCTTTTGCCATTTCATTGTTCAACCCTAGTCTTCGGCGGGGCTTACACTTTTCCGACCCATGCGGCCACGCCCATGGTCCTAGGCCTCGTGGCCATTTGGATTTATTCAAGTGCATCAGCAGCATAGGCCAAGTTTACAGCCTCGTAGCCTTCGTGGATCCATGATCCGCCGTAATCTACGTTACCCAACATCTTCTAAGGACCTTTCTATGTGGTTTCACGTAAATAGCTACATAGTATAATCCTAACATATGCTTGGTGAAAAAGCACAGAACAGAGTATCTCAAAAGTAGCAGAATTCATGGCACACGGATTAAAAAATGACCCAGCTGATCAAATGGGCACCAGCACATTTCCACACTTGTGGTTGAACGCTTTCAGATGATACATAACACCGCAACTCTCTGATTGGAACATTTCGAACAGAAGCGAAAAAGCGAAAGTTTAACCATGAATTCAGGAGACAAACTCTCATAATCGTCTTTGGATGCTTTACATTCAAGTGCCTGATCGTGAGATGCTGACCTCAGAAAATTAAACACGAACCCAGGAAACAAACCCTCATCTACGTCTTTGAACGTGCTTTAAACATGCGCCTCACTATGATACTCGCTAACCTCACTGCATCCTTCTCACCCCAAAAGGGGGGTCACTGATACAACACTTGGGACTCCAGCACTCAAGAGTTGCGACCTGACAAACTAACCTCAAACAGAGTTCGCACAAATTAAACTAACACACTAGCACGACTTGATAACCGAACAAAAGCAAGGAAGCTCATGAGTGCATGAAATGCAAGGTAAAATTGTTGTGGGTAAGGTTTCAAGCCATGCAAACAATCCAAGAATTGAAGGGGGTAAATAATGATATATGAGGAAAGAAACTAAAACTGGGGAAACAACTTATAGCCAAACAAAGCAAATGCAACCCTGCATTACCAAAAGATCCGAGCTAGACAACTTCCAACTTAAAGTCGTGCACAAGAAAACTGTGAATTCACTGACTGGAACACAGTATATAAGAACAATCCATCATCCATAACGAAACATATGCAGCACAGGGCAATGTCATTGAGGACTGGCAGATCCCCCCAAAAATGAAACTTCAACAGAAAATGTAGAACTTTAAATTTTCCCCTAAAACTAAATTTCACAGCTCTTCAACCCACAGTAGGCAATGGAAAATTGGATCTGATCATTTCTCAATCACCCTTCCTCCTAAAAGAGCAACCCTCGGTGAGTCTAGCGCGCCCTCCGGTCGGTTGGCACAAAACTGTCTGGCAGTTACCGCAAACCACCACGGTTTGAGAGTGGCTGAAAACGGTTGTTCTGCATTTAATCACACCGTGACACACATAATTAGCATCGACTCGCCACATAAAGAAACAAACTTCAAAAATCAAAATTGCAATGGATAATACTCACATGTTGAAGCATCCTTGGCACTTCACATCCTATAACCCGGAAATAAACCATTAATTAGACAAATTACTCCATGTTTCCAAAGATATCAGATCGGTAAAACAGAGGGGACTACAGATAATCAGATTGCCGATGCATATAATTCTTAGAGAATAATAAGAACTTCCATATCGGCAGCACAGTCGTTCTTCGAATTGTCAAATAACAAGTCACAACAATCATGGTTAAACAGTAATACAAGAAAAAAAAACTACAAAAAAGTAGTGCAGGTTACATTCATCGACACAGGCACATACCATGAAGAAGGAATTGGGCGACTGCACGAGACGCTTGAGCTTGTGCTTCCTCTTCTCAAGCTCCGCAGGCGGATTCAGTAAATCGATATCGTTCTGGAGAACCTTATTTCACACGGCCGAAACGAAAGAAACTAAAAGTCAGCACGAACTCCAGCATCGAGATCAGGCTCAACACGCAAGTAAAGCTCCAGCCCCGTCTCAAGGCCAAAGCGATGAAGACCGACAGCACTCGATTTCCATTTACGCCCGCTCATCGATCAAACGAACGGAAAAACAGAACGCAAAAACCCTACTTGCTTCAACCCACGACCTATGGAAACCCGAAACACAGTACCGCGAGCTTTTTCGCGCAGCTTAATGCCCGCCCCAACACACGCGTCGCAGTTATTACCAAAACACGAGACGACAGCATAGAAACGAGGGAACAACAGCGAAGGCGAAGATCGAATCGTGAACGAGATGGGGGGAAGACACGCAAACTGAAGCGAAGGGTCGGAGATTTACCATCTTGAAATAAGCTCGTCGGAGTTGGAGGAGGAGGAGGCGGCTGCGGCGGGGCGGCTGCGGCGGGGCGGAAACAGTTAGGAAAACCCTAGCAGTGCTGTCGCGGCGGAGCAAAGAGGGCAAGAGAAGGATGAAGAGGCGTGCTTATATAGAAAGAGGGGCGTGCGTTCTGGGCCGTTAGATCGGTACAGCGTGTGATCGGGACCCCAAAATGAGATATTTCACCAAACCGCCTTCGGAGCCGCCCGAATCACTGGGAGGCTCTATGGGCCGGGTTTTGGGCCGGGCCTCGCGAGAAATGGAGCCCACTTTGATAAGCCCGAGACGCGAGGCTCGATGGGCCCAATTTTCGGTGAAGCCTCGGGAACTTTCTTGGCCCACAGGATCGGCCAAGGCTTCGCCATATTAGTGAGGAAAAATTCCAATTAAAAGCTTGAAGTGAACTTTATCTTAAGTGGCCATATCAGTCTTAAGGAAATGTCTCACTTCGCCGCCTAAGGGCATTTTTGTCCTTTACTTTTTTGAATTTTTTTTTTCTATTTTTCCCTTTTTTCCTTATTCTTTTCTTTTTTTCTTTTTCCTTCTTCCCTCCACTGGCCATCGCCAAGCCTTGTCGATAGCCGGCGGAGGTCGCCCAACGTCGGCGAGGGCAACCCTCGCTTGGCCTCATCGGCGCAACCCTTATCGGATCTGGCGAGGAACGCTCGTGCTTGACGTTGGCAAGGGTTGCCCTCGCTAGGACCTAGCAAGGAACGCCCTCACTCGACGCCGATGAAAGCAACCCTCGCCTAAGGGCGACGATGGCCAGGAGAGAGAAGACGAAAAAAGAAAAATATATAGAGAAGGAAAGAAAAGTAACAAAAAAATTTTAAAAAACAGACTTAGAATTTTTTTTTGACTAAAATACCCATTGCCGAAATAGTTACATGTTGGCCACCTGGCTCCTTATTTGATTCGATTTGGTCATTTCATGCATTATTTGAGATAATTTGGCCACTTCATATCCTAATTTGAAATAAGGTCCATTTCATGACCTTATTTGAAAAAACGATGACACTTCGGGTCTTTATTTTAAATTTTCTCTATAATCAGGTATGCACGACACAAAATTTTCTTCACTTATTCTTTCAACCGTCGATGCTCAAATCTTATTATTGCGCATGTAGAGTCGGTTATAAGTATAAGTAAATAAAAACTAGGGATGGGCGCAGACGAACAGGGGCGGCGGTCACATTCCCCGCGGCCACCCCCCCGTGAGAGGCGGAGCTTTTTCCCGCCACCGCCCTGCGTCCGGGGACGGAAACACTTCTTCGTCGAGTTTTCTTGAATTGCACGTGACAAAATAATTCCTATATTCTACACAATTATTACAAAAGAAACTCGGAATCTCAGACGGGCGGGCCTTTCGCATGCTCATCAATCCATCCCCCGCCAAAAGTGGAGAAAAGAAAACCCCCCCGAAGAAGCTAAAAAAAGAGTCCTCCGGACAGCGTGTCGTTTAGCGAACGGTCACTTCCCCCTTTTTCTTCTTCACTGTGCTCTTCTGCATCTCACGAACTGAACACTGTCGCTCATCGCCATCACGACCACCGTCATCACTTCATCGGCGAACGAGAGCAGCAACCCAATGGAGCACCCCGTATCCCCAGCGACCCCGACTTCCCTCGATCGGCACAGCGAAGCTCTGTCCCAGAGGATGAGGAACGACTTCTGCTTCGCCTGCAAGAAACAGGGCCACTGGATGAAGGACTGCCCCGTCAAGTCCCCCGGCGGATCGCAGCCGTCCCCCGCCGCCGCCGCCGTCGCCGCCACCGTCGCCCCTCCTTGTCTTGATCGGCAAAACGGAGCTCCGTCTCAGGGGACGAGGGGCGGCGCCTGCTTCGCCTGTAAGAAGCAGGGCCACTGGATGAAAGACTGCCCCGGCAAGTCTCCCGCGAAGTCGCAGCCGCCCGCCGCCGACGTGCCGGTGCTCGAGTGCCGGTGCGGTGCCGGCGCATGCGCCGTCCGCACCTCCCATTCCCTGCAGAACCCGGATAGGAAATATTACAAGTGCCCCGATAGAGCCCCTGTTAGTCCAATCTCACCTTTCAAGACAAAATTTCTACTCTTTTTTTATTGTCGTGCATTTCTTCAAAAGTCCATTCTTTTTTGTTTCAATGTTTCTTGGAGTTTCTGCATCTTTCTTTCTCTCTAGTGTTTTTTTTTGTGAAAAGGTAACTCCTTTTCTTTTTGGGTATCTCTGTTTTCCCGCATCTCGTTCTGATTTCCTCTCATTTTGGTTGTTTTTTTCTTTTTTGGGTGGTGAGTTTGTTTGTAGAATGATGTTGGTGGGTGTGGCTTCTTTGCGTGGTGCGACAAGTACAGCGCTCCGATGTGTCCCTGTGGTGCTGGGAGATGCAGGATCAACTTTTTTGAGGATCCTCCACCTAAGGGCAGAGAATATTTTTCTTGCCGTATTAGAAAGGTTCGATTTCTTTCCCTTTTTGACACGCTTAATTTTCTTTGAGTGCCGATATGGTTTGCCCTGAACATGGTTGTTATCTTTGTTGTTGGCTGTGAAGTTACTGAAGTGGGGGTGTGGAGTTAGAGGATGATTCGTTTCTGTCAGAAGCCTTTGATGGGTTTGGCTTGAGATTGGAGGTGCAGTCCGTTGCATGTTTTTTTTTCACTCTTTTGGGCGTAAATGAGAGAGAACTTAAAGGTTGTTTCGAGGAAAATCTATCATTTGGAAAGTATTTTTCTAAATATGATCCATGTCGCTTAAAAAAAAATTAGACAATGAAAATTATTTTCAGCATCAACAATGATTTATACCTAAATATTTGCATTGATGATATTTGTTAATTCATTCCGTAAGTAATACAATTGATCGCTTTTAGAAAATTGTTTTCCTAATCGTTAATATTTCGCGAAACGGCGCACCCTTGGTTATAATCTCTCTGTTTTGTAGTTCCTTTAACAGGACTTGTCACTGTTATATTATTAGTGAGAAGAAAGAAATTTTGCAATTAGGAAGGGGGAGAAAGGGTCTCTCTGTTCCAACGTTTGGGCGTAATTAGTGTTCTTTGTTGCGAGTTTTCCTGCTGATAATTGTGGTAGATCCTCCAGAATTGTGGATTGTCTCACTCAGTCTGAAGTGAATACGAGGTCTATTAGTACAGGTTGGGTTCATATTTGTCCTGAAATGGAAAGAGTATATAGGTAATCCATAAGTCTCCTCATGCCCCAGTTCTCCCCCACCTTCATCCCTCCCCCGCGCCAGGCCCCCCCCCCTTGTCCTAACCATCTTCTTGCTATGAAGTCCTTTGCTTCTATGAGCTATTTTGCATTTATCACCTGATGAAAGCAAACTATTTGAGCTTATTGCACCGATACCATATTGTGATTTTGAACATGTGAGCAGTAAGTTTGTTATATGCTTGCCTTGGTTTCCACTTAGCAGTTGTTGACAGTACTGCTGGCTGTGTGGCTTTGAAACTATCAGAGCTCTTGCAATAGTAGTTTTTAGGAACTGTAGTTTTTAAATTCTCTCTTTCACACCAATAAGTGGCTACATGAATAAGTGGTGAAGTATGCGGAATCATTGTACTTCGATGAGCAGTTATTTTCAGATTGTACCCATTTCTCATTAATCGGTGGCCCAGTACCAACAATAGTGTTGGCGATTGCAGCTGGGGCTCCTTGCTTGAGCTGATAGCTTTTGTAGCTGAAGTTTTTTCTGCATTTAGTTTGAGGCAGTAATTATGTATATGAAGCCCAATCCAAAGCGGCAGCTTTGGTGGTTTTTTGGTCCATTGTGACTTTTTCGTAGATTTTGTGTGAAACATCGAAGCTTTGTTGTCCCTAACACTGTCATCGAATTTCTAAGACAATTTGGGCAGAATTATGACATACAAGAATTCATTGTTGCGTCTTATTCGTAATGTGTAACTTCGAACAAATCCTCTAGTGGGCCTCGCAAAATGCAGTTAAGGAGAGTGGCAATGGGAAATCCTGTCTTGTAAATTGTTCCTTACTCTTACCCGTTAAGATTAATGAATTATTAGAATTGTAGCAAATCTTCCTCATCTCTGTAGGTTGCGTAGAAATTGTCCCCTTTTCATATTATGCAAGTTTGCAAGGTGCCAATCTCGTTTCTTCCCTTGTGCTTATTTGTTCTAATCATCTGGTACTCACAAGATTACACTTTTGGCTGTAGTTTATTTAACTTGTGTTGGCTTGAACACAGGGACACGGAGCTTGTGAATTCTTCCAATGGGCAGATTCTCCTACAGAAAATGTAGGCTCCAGAGATGTTGCGACATTTGTTGTTGCACCACCGGAAGTCATGGAAATTGAGTCAGCAATGGCGGATGCTGGTGAAGATTACGAGGTGGATCCATTATCGATGATGGATAGTGGTGAGATTGAAGAAGTAATTTGCAGATTCTCTGCACCAGAACGTCATTTGAGGGTTTTGGAGAGTGAGAGTTTAATTCCCGAGGCCGATTTGGATACTCAAGAATTAGCTATGGAGGACGTAGATTTGGGGGAGTCTACTACAGAGCAAATGCAGCTTGTTTCCCGTGTAACATCTCCATCGCCAATTCGTCTCAGACAGCAAGAATACTTGAGGCGGATATCAGCTGCTGCTGACATGCTTGCTGGAAGTAGAGGTATCCTATGAGTCATCTTCGAGGGGTTTTCCCCCATCGTCGGCACTTCTTTTTTGTCATTCACGAGCAGTTGATCATCCGTTATTGTAATATTGTTGGAAGTCTTTAGAACCATTTGCATTTTTGGGTGGCAGGTACTCTTGATAGGTTACCCGGCTGTCTAGTTATAAGGTGGTGCGGGCGTCTTTCTTTCCCTCCTCGTCCAAGCTTAGCTGATCCATCTCCAACGCCTTCCTTCTGTGGTAATTGCACTGTGTCTAGTGTCCACCCCCTCCTTATCTAACTTCTATTTAAGTGTTGGCCAATCTTGGATTGTAATATAGATTGTGTTTCTTATGGACTAGGGATTTTACCTTCTCTTGCTGTTGATCATATGGACATCAGCAGCGTTGGGCAAAGTCATCTGGAATCTGGGATGGACTATCGAAACCTCCAGTTTTCCACCGGCAACAGCTTCTTGGCAGAGCATGTGTCTGAAACAAGCAGTGAAGTTTCCAGATTCCTAAGTCATCCTGAATTGGCGTCAAACCATTGGAGCAGAGGGAAAATGTCGGTGTTAAATCAGATGGCAAAGCTTGTCCAGAAAGATATCATTGATCTTCTCGAGAAGAATTCGCTCGATCATGCGCATCTTGAACAGGAGGCTAGAGATCGCCTTGACTGTCTGGATTTTCTCCCTGTTGACAGTAGCCAATTCAAGGAGCAAGTGAAGGAGTTTCTCCTCTGTGCTTCCCGGCTTGCTGAAGTCGAACGTCCCACCAATGAAACTGCAATGCCCAACGTCCTGGAGCGCTGCAGTCGTGCAAAGAAGAGGTTTCGTGATGTATCCGAGAAACATTCAGTGACATCGGATGCATATGCTGCTTGCGATGGACGAATTAAACATCTCCGGGAAGATTACCAGCGTGCAAAGGAGACACTGCTCAGGATCGAGGCAGAGTTGCACGGTTGCCAGGTGGAGCACGCGGAGCTCCAGGGACGGTTTGCCGAGATAACTCGAGAGATGGAGGAGGCCAAGAGCGGCATGGAGGAAGCTTCGCGGGAAGCTTCCCTGGCGGTGCAACGTAGGGAAAGTGAGAGGTGCACCGCAAGGGCTGCCTTGGAGAAGGCGAGGCTCCAACTCCACAGCAATCTTCGGAAAAGAGCTTGCGTGGTAACAAACCAACCTTAAACTACTACGATGCGCATGTTCCGAGTTCAACTGTGTGCCTGTGCCTATTGCGTCCTGTCTTTCGTCCCCTATATATGTATGTAAAATATAGTTTTTAACTGGTGTGAGTGAAGCTAATATGACTGTCTGTTCTGTAGTCATGATATGTGAACATCAGACTCTGTTTCTCTGTTAAACTGGAACAGTGTGTTAGTTTATAACTCATCTCTCTCTCCCTCTCTCCTTGAAGCATTACACTGTGCCACTGTGCTATTACTGATTCAGATGTTGCAGGACCTGGTTTCTTTTATTAACTGAAGACGTGCCCTGATGGATTAGTTGCAAGGCGAACCGTTCTTTCAGCAGAGAAAGTGATTCATGGTAATCTAAGATGGAGCGTAAAATGAACACGTATGTCGCAAAGTTCATGGTCATATTCATATGATAACGAGTGGGTATTAGGTTATGCGAGAGAGAGAGTAAATGGTGTGGCTTTCTTATTGTGTGAATAGTTAAAGATCTTAATTATGCAAATGAAGGAGAGCAAAAACAACAAAAGGGATCGATTCATGCACTTGACGTGGGCCACGCGATTTAAGTCGAGGGACCTCTTTTCTCTAATTTACCAGTCATTTATGTCGTATTTGAAGTTTAACCAAGCTTCGCCGTCGATTCAACGGATCTTGAAATCTCACGATACGTCGTAGAGGCATCAACACGTAAACAGCAATTGCGCGTCGGGTGTTCTAAGATCATCTGAACATTTCAAACTCAAGTCCACTTCAGTCCGCTCAACTAACCTAATCAAAATGAATATCATACTCCACATCCCAGCAGATGAAGCAAAGCCCAACCGGAGCACACAGGAATAGTCAACTTCTGTCTTTCCTAAAACCATATGATGATGATCCGAAACCATAACAAATCCACATCGCTGACGATGATCGAGAGAGTACAAGCTTCGTGCAATCCCGAGGATCGGAAACCGTTTTCTGGGTACTGACCAAAAAACTGTTTCCTGGGCAGCAATCTCGTCAGTGGCCGGCGAGACTATAGATTCCATGCGTGTCGTGTTCAAGAAACTGACGAAGCAGAGAACGTGTGTGTCGTTCAAGCGTCGCTCTCATTCATTCTACCGCCTGAGCCTGCCTCAGTCAGATTTGAACTTCTTCCAGATCTCTCAAATCTCAAGTACTTCGATTTGAATGCGACGGATGCTTTGGACGCCAATGTCCACCATGAATGATGGACGCAGACTCGTAGGTAGGAACCATGCCAACACGTGACTAGACCTTTTTGCCAAAGCTGCAACATCTGCTGTGTTTTCGAGGGTTTCTTTTCCAATTTTGCCCCCCCCATCAGCTCTCTTAAAGCAGTCTCTAGACAAGCAATCGCTCTAAATTTTTCTTCGCATTGGCCCCCACATTGTTTCGACATGACAGCTTTTTGATGATTTACTAGGTATAACTAGCTCACAACGGAGGCTTGTGATACTACTCAAAACTAATGCGAAAGATTCATTTCCGCAACGACTTCATGAGTTGGAAATGAGACATCCAGAATGACCGCTTTCTCAAAAGGAAGATGTTGGAAAGCTAATTGAACAATTTATACGAGCAAGTGATCCTTTCTTATACAATTCTCTAGTTGCATCTCGTGAAGGTCATCATTCCATTTCAAAAACCAGAAAGTACTAAGCAATATTCCAATGTCCTGTGTATTGGTACTTTTTTGGCCCAATGTCCTAGTCCAATACATTGATTTGAAAGTGTCGAGGTGTATCTCATGATGATACTTTTAGAAGTAATACTGGACTTGTTGAGACTACTTTACAAAATTGATTTATTAAGCGACGGGTCGAGCTATAAGTGCCTTTTAATGAATGGGTCACATTAAAAAATAAATAGGGGCCCGATACATCACTTAGTAAATCAATTTTATAAGCCTATCTTAGTGAGCGTAGCAGTTTCTTGCTTTTAATATCGCAAACTTAATGAAAGGATTTTTTTTACTCATATTCTTAACTATTTTAGGAAGCATTTTCTTTTGAATTTACATGATAATAATGAATATTTAGAAATTTTAATGCACTTAAATTTGCCATATTCTTAACTATTTTTAAAAATATCATTTATAAAGAAAAAACTGGACTATCAGATTTACCGGATAAAGTGAAAGTTAAGCCACTAAAACACACGTACTACGTTAAAGTTATAATCAAACCAAATGCAATCACTAAAATTAGTAGATAATTCTTCTTCCTCTTATTTGTGATTAGGTTATTTTTAGAATAATGATTTCCTAGTAAAAAAAAACATTTAATTCATTAACACGATAACTAGTTTTTTCTTTCCTTTTTTGGTCAAAAGACAGTAAATAGTTAGCTGACCTTGCCCAATTGCTTCAGGATATTAGAGGTCCGTTTGCTGATAATGATTACGAGATTTTCCAAGCTTGATAATATCTCGCATAATAATAGCTAGAAAGTATTAAGGAATATTCTAATGTCCTATGTATTGGTATTTTTTTGGCCCAATGTCCTGGTCCAGTACATTGATTTGAAAGTGTCAAGGTGTATCTCGTGACTATACTTTTAGGAGCAATGTCGCACTTGTTAAGACTACCTTACAAAATCGATAGCGAGGGGTCAAGCTGTGAGTGTCTTTAAATAAATGGTTTGTATTAAAAAATTATTAACGGCCCGATACATCACTTAATAAACGAATTTTATAAGTCAAAATTAATGAGGGTAACGGTTTCCTTTATCGCAAACTTTAATGAAAGGATGTTTTTACACAATAAGTTAGTTTATGATCGAAAATGGAGTTTCCGTTCGGAATTTGCTTTTACTATTTATCGGAAATAAAAGCGAATTCTCTAAACATAAAACCTAAAAAAGTTGCAAGACTCTTAATTACTTCTAGAGGATCAGATTTTTTGTTACAAGATTAGTTTGTAAAATTGATTTACTAAGTGATATGTCAAAACCCGCGATTGTCTTTAAATAAGCGTGTCATAATCAAAAACTAATAACAGCCTAAAATATCACTTGATAAACCAATTTCGTAAATCGAAAGCCTAACATTTTCTTGCTTTTGATATCCTAAAATTTTAATGAAAGGACTTTTTACCCATGATTTCGACGCAAAATAAGTTGTTTTCGGATCGAAAGACAGGAGTTGATGTCGGGATATTTGCTTTGACTATTTATCAAAAGTAAAGGACTTCTCTAAACAAAAAATTTCGAGAAGTTGCAAAGACCTTAATTACTTCGTGAAATCGAATCCTTAGTTACCTTAACTATACCTGCACGTTTTTGTACTTAACCTGATCGTCGATTATATAAATGTTATCGAGTCATACGTAGAGTAGATAAAATCAGCAACAAGCATGATTTTCCAAAATCTTTCACAAGGTTAAGAAAATAGTTAATACCACGAAAAACTTCAAATTGGTACATCTGTGTCAAATTTACCCAAAACTAATTTTTTGACTACGAAAAATCTCAAAATGGTACACCTATGACAAATTTACTAAGTTTGTGATAAATTTACCCTCCGTTTAAATTGGATTAATACCACAAAAAATCACAAACGGAGCGTAAAACCTCAAACTGATAGTGTCATCCAAGTCAGAAATTTGATCGGAAAATTTAACGGAACGTAAAATTGTCACAAGTGTAAAGGTTTGAAATTTTTTATGATCAAAAAATTAATTTAAAATAAATTTGTCATAAATATATTAATTTTGAGTTATTAGTGGTATTAAGCCTTAAGAAAATTTTGCAAGAATAAATCATTATTGGGGCAGGTTTCTTGCTTTCACGGAAAAAGCACTTTTGAATACGACCTCGGACTTCCGACAAAACAAAAAAAATAGTACCTCGCATCTCAATTTTTTATTTCCTTTTCTCAATTTTAGTGGCGACATAATGGCAAGGTTTCCGGTGACATCTACAACGCACAAACATGGTTCAGTCCCACCTACCGAACTCATGCTCTCTTTTGTGGGTCCGGTTGGAAGGTCTGCTGCGGTGATTAAAATTTACATATTTTATATTTTTTTGCTTTTCTGCCCTTAATATCTTCCTTGTTAAGGGAACCGCCACACATCACCCGATCTCGCCGCTTACGTGGCACCACGGGAGTGCTTGTTCCGGGGGGAAGAACTTCGCGACGAAGGAAAACATTTTTTGGAAAATCAATTTTCGAGAAAATGTTTTCCTCTTTTTTTAGGTCAGGAATTCATCTTTCTAACATTAAACATGCATATATTCTTTAACCATAAGTGGTCTTTCGTTGACAGATCATTTTCGATAAACCAAATGTCTGAAAATTCAGAAAATTAATTCGTGAATTTTTTTTTTTCACTCAAATAAACGCATCCCGAGAGACTAGCGCCGGTTGGAGCTGTGTCACCTAATCCGTCTAAACTAAAAATCTTGTGAATAGCGGAATATGTTCTGGAGAGCTTCTTGTATAGGGCATCTCGGAAAGTCGTCGATTTCAATCGTTTCAAACTAGTAGTTGACTTGCTGACCAAAAAACCAAGGACTAGTGGTTTACTAAATGTTTCTCATAATTTGGATCGAGAAACAATGTCCGTCGGCATGCCTACTTACGCCCTCCGTGGCAGATGGAAGATGTGAATTGTGGGTACTATCTATCACGAGGCCCGTTTGTTCACAACTTAAATAAAGGACAAAAGCCTTTAAAAATCCTAAATTATGCTCGCTATGACACATTATGACGCAAAAAATCTCAAACTTGTATCTGTGTGATATATTTAACTTTCGTCAAAATTCTGTCAATGAGGACTGTTAAAAATATGCTTACATGGACGTCAGAAAAGCAAATAGTATTGACATGGCACCCACGTGACATAAGTGAAATGGAAACGACGTTATTTTGGCTGAAAAATCATCTAATGAAAATATTGACGGAGAGCAAATGTGTCACGCATGTACAAGTTTGGGATCTGGCGAGGTTGGGTTGGACCCTCGCCAGATCCGGCGACAGCCGCCCTCGCCCAGGCCTCGAGGGTCCAGCCCTCACCCGAGCAGACGAAGGCCGCTCTCCCCTGTGGCCGGCGAGGGCCGCGACACCCTCGCCTGTGGCCGGTTGCCGACCACAGGCAAAGGAGAAGGCAGGAAAAAAAAAAAAGAAAAAAAGGGAAAAAAAAGAAAAAAATCATTAAAAATTGTCCACGTTGGTGCCGGTCATGTCACATCAGATGGCCGGTGTCCACGTCAGCGATCTCCAGCATAAATTGACCGAATGGACTGAATTGGTACCAATGTGAAAATTTTTAGGACCGAATTGATGCGAATGTAATATGTTGAGGACTTTTTTGGTACTTTTCCCTTCAAACGGGCTATCTTTTCTACTTTTGCTATAAATCGGAGGAAAGAGAAGCGAATAGAGCATAATGGAGTGGTGGAACAATGCGAATGAAGCGCTCGGATCCACTTATCAATTCGGGCTGGCTCCGTGACTGCTAGGAAGATGGCTGAATCTGACAATTTACTAATACAAGTACGGACTACACTTCGGCGACGGTGAGAGGTCCGGTTGCAATACATCCATCGACATCAAGGAAACTCGTGTACATTTTGGCCGGGGGGAGGTGGGAGCCCTTGCTCGCCCCTCCCTGGCTCCACGACTACCAGGAAGATGGCCGAATCCGACAAGTTACAAATACAGTTACAGAATACGCTTCGACGACGGTGAGAGATCCGGTTGCAATACGCCTATCGATGTCAAGGAAACTTGTGTACAGCTTGGCCGGCTACTTGAGCATTTCGAAAACGGCCGGCACACCTCTATCGGGTCTACTCTTCATTCAGGCATAATCTCCTCGTTAAGAAGTGATCAAGGAATTGCTCGTTCTACACTTTACACTCTCACTTATTTTCAATTCGTTGGGCGTTGGCCCGTCTTCTATACATATACATACATATGTATCGACCAATATTGCACAGTTTATATATTTCCCTGAATAATTCCTGGGCCAATATTCCTCGTTGAAGCGCTCAAAGTACTGATCAACGACCTCCCCTCAAAGTCGTGCAGGCACTGAACACCTTCGTCAATTGCTTTACATTCTTCCAATTGCTTTACTTAATACTATGTATCGTCTCAAATGCTTCCACCTCTCCGCTTTAAAAAGCTTCAGTTCACACTCATTTTAACTCTAGCCGTCTTTCTATTTTCATTTTTGGCCAAGCTAATTGTAGCCATGTCGTGCTCGTCGTGATTAAGGACGGCCCGATCGATCTATCCCGATTAGAGACACTCGTCAACACGGCGCTTCTCCAATTAACGTAACCGAACAAGTATATTATTTTTCTCAAGTAGATTTCACCTTCTTCTTTAAAAGAAGAAGGGATAACGACATAAACAATTCCTGAATTTTGGTCCAATGTACAATTTGGTCCATGAAGTTTTAATTTGTTCAATATAGTTACTGAATTTTAACCGAATATTCAATGTGATCCCTGAATTTTTAATTTATTCAATGTGGTCCCTGGACTTTTGGTACGTATTCAATTTAATCATTGAACTATATGAAAATGTTCAGTGTAGTCCTTGCATTTGAATTAATGGAACGACTATATTGGACATTTTCATATAGTTGAAGGACTAAATTGAACACGCATAAAAAATTCGGGGATCACATTGAACAAATTAAAAGTTCATGAATCATATTGAACATTCGATTAAAGTTTAGGGATTACAGTGAATAAATTAAAAATTTATGAATTAAATTGTATATTAAATTAAAATTCAAGGATTATTTGCGTAATTTTTCCAAAGAAGAAGAAGAAGAAGAAGATGGGATCCAAATGACTTGGTGGTTTGGTGTAGCTGAAGATTTGCTCGGGCGGAGGAAATTAAACACGCAGAAGAGGTGCATTTTTGGTCATGAAAGAGGGGGAAATAAATGTGGGGATCGGGTCGGGGGGGAGGAGAGATGTGGCTCGGTAGCTACCACTCCTTTGTAGCGGCCTAACCCCGATCCCACGTGGCCGCCATCTACCCGTCCCTTCGACCTACCCCTTCCCCCTCCCTTCATATACCTTCCTCCCCCGCACACTCATCCTTCATCTTCGTCGTCATCTACTCGCTCCCCCTCCCCCTCCTCGTAGCTCAATTTGACCGCCTTCCGCTCTCTCGGCGGTGCGTGCGTTCGAGTCTCGCCGGCGAGGAGGACACCGAGTCGATCGGATACAGATCGGAGCGGGAGCATGGCGGCGACCAAGTCGGTGGAGGAGATAAGGAAGGCGCAGCGGGCGGAGGGCCCGGCCACCGTGCTCGCCATCGGGACGGCCACCCCGGCGCACTGCGTCATCCAGGCGGACTACCCGGACTACTACTTCCGGATCACCAACAGCGAGCACATGACCGACCTCAAGGAGAAGTTCCAGCGCATGTGTAAGTGTACACGAACCCTATTTTCGATCATCCTAGGTGTGTGGTCACACGGTTCGCGGCGATTGATCGTTCGGATCGGTGCGCGCTTGATCTCTGCTTGAGATGGAAAATTCTCCTCTTCTCTCCTTCTCCTTCGGCGAGAGAAGGAAAAGAACGAGAAAGACGACGATGCATGCTGCATGTCCCGGTTCATGGGAAGCTGTCCCTTGTACGAAACGGAAAAAAAAATAATATTAGATTCTTGTGTCCTTCTTTGCAAGGACTAGTGATTACGGCAGTAGTAGGAAACAAATTTGTGGCTTCAATCGTGAAAATCGCAGAACTCCGGTTTGGGATTGCTGACGTCATTTTCCCTTCGCTAGTAACATGCATCGACCGTTGATTTATGACGCTGACCTGTGCTGTCTCCTCTGTGCGATGATCGGACGGTGGTACAGGCGACAAGTCGATGATCAAGAAGCGGTACATGCACCTGACGGAGGACTTCCTGAAGGAGAACCCGGGGATGTGCGCGTACATGGCCAACTCCCTCGACGCCCGCCAGGACGTGGTGGTGGTGGAGGTCCCCAAGCTGGGGAAGGAGGCGGCCGCCAAGGCCATCAAGGAGTGGGGCCAGCCCAAGTCGAAGATCACCCACCTCATCTTCTGCACCACCTCCGGCGTCGACATGCCCGGCGCCGACTACCAGCTCACGAAGCTCCTCGGCCTCCGCCCCTCCGTCAAGCGCTACATGATGTACCAGCAGGGGTGCTTCGCCGGCGGCACGGTCCTCCGCCTCGCCAAGGACCTCGCGGAGAACAACCGCGGCGCCCGAGTCCTCGTCGTGTGCTCCGAGATCACCGCCGTCACCTTCCGCGGCCCGTCAGACTCCCACCTCGACTCCCTCGTCGGCCAGGCCCTCTTCGGCGACGGCGCCGGCGCCGTGATAGTCGGGGCCGACCCGGACACCGCCGTCGAGCGCCCGCTGTACCAGCTCGTCTCGGCCGCCCAGACCATCCTCCCGGACTCCGACGGCGCCATCGACGGCCACCTCCGCGAGGTCGGCCTCACGTTCCACCTCCTCAAGGACGTCCCCGGGCTGATCTCCAAGAACATCGAGAAGAGCCTCGTCGAGGCCTTCACGCCGATCGGGATCAACGACTGGAACAGCATCTTCTGGATCGCCCACCCCGGCGGCCCGGCCATCCTGGACCAGGTCGAGGTCAAGCTCGGGCTCAAGGAGGAGAAGATGAGGGCCACCCGCCACGTGCTCAGCGAGTACGGCAACATGTCCAGCGCCTGCGTGCTCTTCATCCTGGACGAGATGCGGAAGAAGTCGGCGGAGGAGGGGCGGGCGACCACCGGCGAGGGCCTGGACTGGGGGGTCCTGTTCGGGTTCGGGCCGGGCCTGACGGTCGAGACCGTGGTGCTGCACAGCGTCCCCATCGAGGGAGCTCACTGATCTGCCCTAGCGCTCCGGTGGGGAGTCAAAGAGGACGACGGACGACGCACGGGTCCGCTTTTGGCAGCAACAAACGACAAAACAAAAGGGTGACTTCCGTAATAAATCCGTGCTTTGGGAGCATTTTTTTCTTAAGCTGTGTTAATGTCCGAATGTCGGATTTGTTTTTCCTATTTTTGTATAATTCGATTGTTTGTGCGGGTTAACGGACTTCTTCCGATCATACCGTTCTGTCTTGTCCCTTCTCATTGACCTCTCTGATTGGACTTTGACACAGTCGACTAAGTCAGACTGTTTACCATGTGAGGCGGCACGATACAAGTCATGTTGCCCGATACAATCGTGCCGCGAGTCCGGCAATTCGTGTCGTAAAAGAAGGCGTGGCATAGGCAGAGCAATTTGTTCTTAATCGGAATTTATCTAAATGATCAATTAATCTTCAGTTTAATGTGCAATCTCGTCTAAGAGTGTTTAATATTTTTGGATATGATCGAAGAACTATTAGTAACGGATAAATGTAGTATATAGATTATATGAAAATGTTTAATATTATCATTTCATTCGTTTAAGTTTATGGAATCTACTGATTCGACTCCCATCAGTGTATTTAAACTGTAAATAACAAAAAAGAGTTGCATGTGGATTATCCAATTAAGATATTCATATCAGATTAGAATGTAATATTTTGCGTCGTGGACATGTTAACACCATAATTTTCTCTTTCCTTTTTCTAAAATAGATAATTCAAATGATAAACACGTTGGCTCGTCATTTTTGAGAATCTAACTTAGTATATAATATTTCACGTAATCAAAAGATGCCGGATTTGTCATTTGAGTAAACAGAATGACTTTATTGAACATTTACCAAATAATTTAGGGACAACACTGAACAAATTAATAGTTTAGAGACGACATTGTACATTGAACTAAAGTTCAGAGGACCATTTTGATGTTGTTCTCATTTTCTCAATTCATGCTTGGGGGCTTCATATGGCAATTTCTTAACTTACATTCCTTTTTGTGAACGAGCAATATGTCTCACTTTGTTTGTCAGTTTTGGTTTCATAGTTTAAGGGAAGGATTTTCTCTCCTAATTCAGTTTGTAATCTATGTAATACTGCCTAAATGCAATGAATTCCCCAAATTCGCCAAAGGAGCATTTCTTTTTTCTTTTCCCTAATGAAAAAACAACATAGGAAAAAATCAATTGACCGTGGTAAATTGTGATTTGGCAGCATTATTTCGCCCCTATCAAGTTGGAATTTTGCTTTAACCCAAAGCATCAATTGGTCCTTATCGTTATATTTAATATTTCTTTATTGGACGTTACTCTTTAATCGTCTTGAACTCGGGCATCGCTTACGTGTCGCAATCAACACGTGACGATTTTAGTCTTCATTCTGTTTAGTGCCATTCCTTTTCGTCCTTCTATTTCATTTGTGACACTGGAAGTTAACCATGAAAACCTAACGGATACTTATTCGAATTATGATGACAATTTATGTTGGTAATCCGAGTAATTCTTTTATCCTCCGATATACACTACGGACCAAATAACAGGTCACATAAGCCCGATATCTAAAATCTTAAATTGCTAATTTGACTTTATAGGTTTAGTCCAACGAAAAATGAAAAAAAAATAATTTTTTTATTTTTCCGAACTCTACTTTTTTTTCATATTTTATCCAAAAAATGTATCCTTGGGCCATGGATAAACCTTTAAATTTCGGATCTTATGGCCCGGCCCGGTCCAGTTCCAATCCCCGTTGTCCACTGGGCCACGTCTCCCGTCGCGTGTCGCTTACCTCCCCCCTCGGAGTTTCAAGACTGAAACTTGAACGGAGCAATCTCGCCGAAAGTGATTGCCGAGGCTTTTCACAGTTCGTTTCCTCAGTGATCGAGAGATGATGATGAAGCGCCGGATTAGCGGATTTGGGAAGGCAATGCTTTAGCCCGGCGTAGTTCCTCCATTGCGCGCGGAATGTTGCCGTGTCTCTCCGCCAAACGCTCTCCATCTTCGCGACCCAATTCGCATCCGGAGCACGACCTCGATCCCCATCCACTGCCTTCACTGGGTAAGCCTCGCCCGCTCCGTTTTTGAAGGGCGAGTTCGCTTTGCCGTCGATGTGTTTGCGAAATTGCCTCAACGGACTTGGAGGAGCTGCAGGGACTTCCCCAGGCGGCACTTCAAGATCGAGCCAGGCGGTCTCGCCCACGGTCAATCTCAGCCGGGAGTACACCCTCGCTCTCCAGACCAGTTCCTATAACGAGATTCGCTCCACGATTTACGTCCTTGAATGCTGCCAGGGCGAGCGGGAACTGCATTTTCAAGAGCAAGATTGTAGCGAGTCGACCCAGGAGCAGGTGCTGCATCGCGTTCTGCAACCGAATAGGGAATGCGTGGGGGAGGCACTCAGGCACGCCAAGGACAACGCGCTTACCCGATTAGTCTCTTCATACTTCGACCACAGCGAGAACACGTCCAACCTCTGCCTTTTGCTTTACCAAAGCGTGCACCGCGCCCGCGACATGTACTCTCCTCTTGTCGAGCTCCTCGCAGAGCTTCCTCTTGATGCGGATTCATTTACTCAATCACAGTGCAACAGGGTTTATGAAGTCTTTGTCCAATTCGACTGCCATGACAACCCCTTCCCTTCTCCGGACTCCCAAAACTTCAGCAAAATGCGTAGCTGCTTTTCAGAGCTAAAGCAACAGCTGGACCATAAACTACAGAAGTCCAAATCAAGAGTTAAATTTGTTCGCCATGCCATTGCAGGGTCTGCGCTTTGTCTCTTGGGCACTGTAGTTGCTGCTGTTGCATGTGCAATTGGTGTCACGGGCCATGCACTCATTGCATTTGTTAGTGCTCCGTGCTTGACGGTCTATTTTCCACACGACAAGTTCTCGAAGAAAGAGCTTGCCCATGCTGCTCAACTCGATGCTGCTGCCAAGGGTACTTATGTTCTCAACAATGACTTGGATACTATTGATCGTCTAGTCGACCGTTTGTATGCTGCTGTAGAGGATGACAAACTATTGATCCGGATTGGATTGGAGAGAGGCATGGATAAAAATCTCATACTAGAGGTGGTGAAACAGCTCCGCAAGAACCACGCTAAGTTCCTTGATGAACTAAAGGATCTCGAGGATCATATATGCCTATTCTTTAACATGGTCAACAAGGCCAGAAAACTTCTCCTTGAAGAGATTACCTTCCATAGTTCTATTGCTTCCTGACCATTTACTTACATGATATGAGCAAGTACTAATTGGATTGTACATTCGTACCGATTTAATTGGGCAAAGTCTCTGCCTGCTGACAGCTGATAATTGCCAACAATACAAAAGTAACAGCGGGATGTTCGCAGTATTGTTAGTGTATTTGCACCTCTATAAGTGCCAAATTTTTATTATTTGGTGATTGGAGGTGTTTCTTAGTCATTGCTGGAGTGAGGGATACTCAGCTTTATCTTGAGTTGTATATAGTGCTGATAATTTAGACGTTAATTATAGCTTTGCAGGACTGCTATTGGCCATTGTTGTTGTATTCGAATCGTGTTTTAGTAGCATCTTATCCGTTTTTATGAATCATTTTAGTAACAATGCATTAGAATCTTATCTGTACTTATGAATCAATTAATGCACGATTCTTGTGTTTTTTTACCATTATCGTGACCTGGTAGAATTGCCTCTCTCTGTCTCTCTCTCTCTGATTTACGCCAGTCGCTGTGCACTGAAGCTTTATGTTGTCCTCTCTGTGTCTTCTTCAGCCAGCATTTTCCATGTATGGCTTACTTTGGTGGACATCCGGGATGTTTCATATTTTCTTCTTGATTCTCTTGCTCTCAAAATCTTAGAGGCGATACTATACCCACGAAGTGCAGCCATTCAGCTGACTGTACCTCAGGAATCACGTAAACGTGGGTAGTGGCTATGGTCTTGGATTCCATGTGAAGAATGAGTCTTTGTTTTCTTTCATTCTTTTAGAACGAACTCTGGACCTTTATTCTTATAATGGGATCATGCCATGTTTGGACTGCTTGACGTGTTCATTCAGAAGGTCCATCTTCTGGCAAAATGTTCCCTGCATGTGTGTGTGTATGTGAAATGGCGTGCACCGCTGGACTTATACAGTCCTGTAAAGCACCTGCATCTTATGTTGTTGCTACAAGATTGTAGCTGTTCTTGTTTCATCCGATGGCATTTCGTTCATTTAAAGTTCTCCATGTTGTCATGATTGATGATGTTATTGGTCTTGTTAGCTCTCCAGATAATCTAGCACATTGTTGCTTCTTCTCGTCTAAAATTGCAGTGTTTATGCTATTGAAGTGTTCATATGGTTGAGGACTCGAGCCTACACAGCAATGAACTGGTTATATGTACCCTGCTTTCTCTCTGGACTCCTTTCACTGGCTGGTTTTTGGTGCATCTCATCTTTGAAGGAGAGATTGGGTTGTTCTGTTGTGGCCAACCTTACTCTGAAGTTCAGCTTCAAAGTTTTCTTGAGAAACTAATGCATCAAGCAGGATGCCGGAAAGCTTGCTCGGCAAGCATCCTGCATGGTCTTTCGGCTTCGATTCCGCCAGATATCAATTCAGCAGCTCCTCTTCTTGCTTGATGGGGTTTAAAAAGTGGAATCTTTTTTAGGCTCCGTTCGTTTAGCGGAAAATATTTCTCCTTTTGGAAAATATTTTCGGAAGTCATTTTCCTGGAAAATGTTTTCCCGGAACATAATTTTCCGGTGTTCGGCGACCAATATGAAAAAGTTTCGGAAAATATTTTTCGCCTGGGCGGTGCGGTGTGGCGGTGGCCGGCGACAGGGCGGCTGGCGACCGCGGCGGCGGCGGGCGAGGCGGGCGGCGGCGGCGGCCGAGACTGGCAGCGGCGGCGGCCGGCGCCACGGAGGCAACGATGGTGGCCGCGATCTTAGTGAAGAAGAAGAAGAAGAAGCTCCGAAAATGATTTCCGCTTTTGAAGAAGCAAGTCATTTTCCATAGACTTAGGCTATTTGTGAAGGGGGAAGGAAAATATTTTTCCACGGAAACGTTTTCCGCCCCGAACACCGGAAAAAGTGGAATCTTTTTGAGTACTCAACAACTCCAACTTAGTTTAAAAATGAAAAGAAAAGCAAACAGAATTCCCAAGCGCGCCGCCATCATTTTATTATTCATCACCAAATTACCAAATTACGTTAATTTATGTAGAATGTCTGCGAGAGCACGAGGGAAAGAAGATCGGGGTGAAAATGCCACGAATTTGAAATTTTCGCTTTATTTCCTTTTCACGGAAATATGAAAATTTCCCCTATTTTCTTCTCTTGCTTTCGTTCCCTTCCCTTCTATATTTTTAATTGAATGGGAAAAAGCTATAAAAAAAAAAACTTCAAACTATGCCCATTGTGATATGTTTATCTAAACTTTTTTCTGTAACATAAAAAAATCCTAAATTTATATATATGTGACACATTTACTTCGTCAAGATTCTATCAACGAGCATTATTAAAAATCTATCTAGATGGATAATAGTGTTGGCAGAGTGTTCATGTGATTTCAATGAAATAATAACGAAGTTATTTTGATTGAAAGATTATTCGATGAAATCATAACAGGGGGTAAATATCAGGTGGGTTGGCCTCCTCACGTCACTGTACGCTGGCCCAATTAGGAAGGGACACGTGTCACCACGTGTCCGCCGAGTCCCACATTTTTTCTTGAGTAAAACTTTTGCCTCCCCTCTCTCTCTTCGTTAATTGCTGCGTCCTTCTCTGTCCTTCTACCGCACGCAAGATGAAGCGCTCCCCCTGCATCTTCTCTGTGTTTTTCTCCATCACAAAGCGCGAAAGCTCTCAACATTGTCTCTCTCTTTTTCAAAAATCTCTCCCTCCCAAGAACCCACCGGTCCCGAGCTCAGATCCTCCGCCTCCGGCACGTTGCCTCCAGGAGCCACTCCCTTAAGCCACACGAAGTCCACTTTTAGAAATCTCTCCGTCCTAAGAGCCCGCCGGTCGCATCCCGAGCTCAAATCCGCTGCCTCTCCAGCATGTCGTCCCCGCCTCCGCCGTTGCCTCCAGGAGCCACTTCCTCAAGACGCACGAAGCCCTCTTTCAAAAATTTCTCCCTCCCAAGAGCCCGCCGGTCGCATCCCGAGCTCAGATCCGTCACCTCCGCCACATCGCCTCCAGGAGCCACTCCCTCTCTCTCTCTCTCTCTCTCTCTCTCTCTTGCTCCTAAGAGCCCCGCCGGTCGCAGCTGCCGGGTCTCGAGCTCTGACCGCCTCCGCCTCTGCATTCTTCGCTGTTCCTGCTCGCGGACGCCACAAGTAACACTCACTTGGCAGTTACAATACTTCTCTACGTCTCTTCGTGATCTCTCTTCCTGGACTCTAGTCTCTCAGCAAGCGCTCTGTGAAGTCAAAGGTAACCCTATTGTTTTCTATTTCTTGTTTTACTTTTTTTGGGGCTTAAAAGCAGATTTCATTCGGTTCTTGGTTGAATTACGAGTCTATTCAATGTTCGCACGTGTTTGATGGATTTGATTGGCTTGGCTGGTATATGGAGTGGGGTGGTTTGGTTATGTGATGCAGAAGATTGTGCAGAGGACATTCATAGGTGAAGGAGAAGAGAGGAAGGCACTGAAATGGACCAATAAGCTATAATGAATTCATGTCTACTAGAAAATCGTATCGTGATTTTTGTACTTTTTTTTCCTTTTTCTTTTTTTCTGTTTCTGCTATTTTTGTTGGAGTTTTAGTTTCTTTTATTGGCGGATAATTGCACGAGCTTGGCTATTAAGTTGGCAGTTTTGCCCGTGAGTGTCCGGTGTCGTGGTTATTGGGAGGTTTGCTTTGTCTAGAACGGCACCGAGTTAGGAAGTTCCATCTCTCTTCGATTTGGCAAAAACTCCAACTAACAAAGGTTCGCTCACGATTAGTCAGTTAATTCGCACGTGTAAGGTTATTCATAGGGGCATCATATGGTAATTTCACAACATTGAATAAATTAATAGTATAGGGACGAAATTGCACATTGAGTTAAAGTTCATGTATTATTGATGTCACTTTCATTTTCTTAATACATGCTTGGGGGCTTCATATGACAATTTCTTAACTTATGTTTCTTTTTGGGAACGAGGAATATATCTCCCTTTGTTTATTAGTTTTGGTTTCATATTTTAAGGGAACGTTTTTCTCTCGTAATTAAGTTTGTAATCTACATATCACTGCCTAAATGCAATGAATTCACCATACGCGGGTCAATGGGCATCCCCAAATTTGCCAAAGGAGCATTTCTTTTTTCTTTCCCTAGTGAAAGAACAACATAGGAAAAAATCGATTGACCGTGGTAAATTGTGAATTTGGCAGCATAATTTGGCCCCTATCAAGTTGGAATTTTGCTTTAACCCAAAGCATCAATTGGTCTTTATCATTATATTTACTATTTCTTTATTGGAAGTTACCCTTTAATCGTCTTGAGCTCGGGCGTCGTTTACCTGTCGTAATTAACACATGATGATTTAAGTCTTCGTTCTGTTTAGTGCCATTCCTTTTTCGTCCTTCTATTTCATTTGCGACGGTGGAAGTTAACCATGGAATCTGGCTAATAATTATTTGAATTACGATGATAATTCATGTCGATAATCTGAGCGATGCTTGTATTCTCCGATACACAAAATGGACCAAATAACAGGTCACATAAGCCCAATATCTAAAAATCTTAAATTGCTAATTTGACACTTATAAGTTTAGTCCAACGAAATTTTTTAAAAAAATATATGTTTTTAATTTTTCCGAACTCTACTTTTTTTTTCATATTTTATACAAAAAATGTATCCTTGGGCCGTGGATAAACCTTTAAATTTGGGAGCTTATGGCCCGGCCCGGTCCCATTCCAATCCCGTTGTCCACCGGGCCACGTCTCCGTCGCGTGTCGCCTGCCTCCCCCTCGAAGAAGTTTCAAGACTGAAACTTGATCGGAGCAACCCTCCCGGACCAAGCCTTTGTTGGTCCGACTCGCAAGTCAAAGCAGCGACGGTTCCAACCATCGAGCGTTTCGACGCAGCACGGTGAACCCGTCAGGTTGTGATCCAGAGATGACGATGAAGCACCGGATTAGCGGATTTGGGAAGGCGTAGCTCCTCCATGCGCGCGGAATGTTGTCGTGTCTCGCTGTCAAACCCTCTCCATCTGCACGACCCAATTCGCATCCGGAGCAGGTCCTCGATACCCATCCACCGCCTTCGCTGGGTAAGTCTCGTCTACTCCGTTTTTGAGGGGTGAGTCCGCTTTGCCGTCATTCTGTTTGCGAAATTGCCTGAACGGACTTGGAGCTGCAGGGACTTCGCCAGGCGGGACGTCAAGATCGAGCCAGGCGGTCTCGCCCACTTTCGATCTCAGCCGGGAGTACACCCTCGCTCTTCAGACCAGTTCCTATGGCGAGATTCGCTCCACGATTTGCGTTCTTGAATGCAGCCAGGGCGAGCGGGAACCGCATTTTCAAGAGCAAGATTGTGGCGAGTCGACCCAGGAGCAGGTGCTGCATCGCGTTCTGCAACCGAATAGGGAATGCGTGGGGGAGGCACTCAGGCACGCCAAGCACAACGCGCTTACCCGATTAGTCTCTTCATACTTCGACCACAGCGAGAACACGTCCAACCTCTGCCTTTTGCTTTACCAAAGCGTGCACCGCGCCCGCGACATGTACTCTCCTCTTGTCGAGCTCCTCGCAGTGATTCCTCTAGATGCGGATTCATTTACTCAATCACAGTGCAACAGGGTTTATGAACTCTTTGTCCAATTCGACTGCTATGACAACCCCTTCCCTTCCCCTGACTCCGATAACTTCAGCACAATGCGTAGCTGCTTTTCAGAGCTATGTCAACAGCTGGACCATAGACTACAGAAGTCCAAATCAAGAGTTAAATTTGTTCGCCATGCCATTACAGGGTCTGCGCTTTGTCTCTTGGGCACCGTAGTTGCTGCTGTTGCGTGCGCCATTGGTGTCACGGCCCATGCACTCATTGCATTTGTTAGTGCTCCATGCTTGACGGTGTATTTTCCACACGACAAGTTCTCAAAGAAAGAGCTTGCCCATTCTGCTCAACTTGATGCTGCTGCCAAAGGTACTTATGTTCTCAACAATGACTTGGACACTATTGATGGTCTTGTCAAACGTTTGTATGCTGCTGTAGAGGATGACAAACTATTGATCCGGATTGGATTGGAGAGTGGCACGGATAAAAATTCCATACTAGAGGTGGTGAAAGAGCTTCGCAAGAACCACGCTAAGTTCCTTGATGGACTAAAGGATCTCGATGATCATATATGCCTATGCTTCAACATGGTCAACAAGGCCAGAAAACTTCTCCTCGAAGAGATTTCCTTCCATAGTTCTATTGCTTCCTGACCATTTACTTACATGATATGAGCAATTACTAATTGGATTGTTCCCTCTGGTTTGATTGGGAAAAGTAGTCTGCCTGCTGACAGCTGATAGTTGCTAACATACAGAAGTAATAGCGGGATGTCACAGTATTGTTAGTGTATTTGCACCTCTATATGTGCCAAATTTTTGTTACTTGGTGATTGGAGGCGTTTCTTAGTCATTGCTGGAGCGAGGGATTCTCAGATTTATCTTGAGTTGTATATAGTGCTGATAATTTAGATGTTGATTACAGCTTTGCAAGACTGCTATTGGCTATTGTAGTTGTATTAGAATCATGTTTTAGAAGCAATGCATTAGAATCTTATCTGTTCTTATGAATCAATTAATGCACGATTCTTATATTTTTTACCATTGTCATGACCTGGTAGAATTTCCTCTCTCTCTCTCTCTCTGATTTACACCGTTTGCAGTGCACTCAAGTTTTAGGTTTGTCCTTTTTGTATCTTCTTCAGGCATAATTTTCCATGTATGCCTGACTTTGGTGGACATCCTGAATGATGCATATGCTGGTTTTCTTCTTCATTCTCTCGCTCTCAAAATCTTAGAGGCGATACTATACCCACGAAGTGTGGCCATTATAATTCATTCAGCTGACTGTCCCTCAGAAATCACGTAAGTGTGGGTAGTGGCTATGGTCTTGGATTCCATGTAAAGAACGAGTCCTTGTTTTCTTTCGTTCTTTTAGAACGAACTCTGGTCCTTGATTCTTATAATGGGATCATGCCATGTTTGAACTGTTGTACGTGTTCAATCAGAAGGTCCACTTTGGACAACTCTTTTGGCAAAATGTTCTCCGCGCGCGTGTGTGTGTACGTGAAATGGCATGCACCGCTGGACTTATGCAGTCCTGAAAAGCGCCTGCATCTTATGCTGTTGCTACATGATTGAAGCAGTTGTTGTTTCATCCGATGGCACGTCGTTCATTTAAAATTCTCCATGTTTTCATGATTGATGCTGTTATTGCTCTTGCGAGCTCTCCAGATAATCTAGCACATTGTTGCTTCTTCTCTTCCTATATTGCAGTGTTTATGCTATTGTGTTGTTCATATGGTTGAGCACTCGAGCCTACGCAGCAATGAACTGGTTATATGTACACTGCTTTCTCTCTGGACCCCTTTCACTAGCTGGTTTTTGGTGCATCTCATCTTTGAAGGAGAGGTTGGGTCGGTCTGTTGTGGCTTTGTGGCCAACCTTACTCTGGAGTTCAGCTTCAAAGTTTTCATGAGAAACTGATGCATCATACGGGATGCCGGAAAGCTTGCTCGGCAAGCATCCTGCATGGTCTTTCGCTTAGATTCCGCGAGATATCAATTCAGCGGCTCTTCTTCTTGCTCGATGGGGTTTAAAGAGGAGAAAGTATGTTATGTCACCCCTTAAGAGTTTGTAAACATTGGAATTCAAGAATGTATTTTCATATATATAACAATTAATTGGTCTGTTTCTCCAAAGTGATGTTAACGATGCATATTAGATCTTTTTCCTTGTTTTCGTTGGACCTCTTTCGGGCTCTTGCTCGTCTTCTAACTATTTCCTGATGCAGTGAACATAATTCAATAATAAAAGCTTTTGGTTGAGCTTACTGAAAGGCTCACGCTTCTTAATTTTCCGCTTAATTGGGCTCATTGGTTTTTGCCTTTGGTATACTTCGAAAGTTAATGTTAGTACTTTGCTTAATCTTAAATCACTTTAGAAAAATAAAAATCTGAAAATATACACCATAAACATCTCTAATATACAATTTTAGTATGGCTTTTTGAATATATTTAATAAATAACTAAGGCTTGATAATGCAATGGTTTAATAGTATATATTATTGAGTCTTTTGTTGGGTGTTTGTATTATTAATTTACATAGGTTATTTTATCCAAAAAATGTGGGGGGAGGAAACTTATAGGGGAATTAGTGTAGTCATATAGTAATAATGACAGTTTGATATACACTGAATCAAATTATAGCCCTTTTTTTCAGGTAAATGAAATGTGGAGGCGGAATTAAATTATTAACCATAACTTCAAGGTAAAGTATTTAAATTTGCTTTTGAGGTTCACAAAAAGAAAAGAGCGAGAAATGCCCGTTTGATATTGACTAAATTTTTACAGTTGTACAAAAAAAAAGTGAAATCTTTTTGAGCAATCAACAACTCCCAACTAAGTAAAAAAATAAAAAGAAAATCAAACAGAATTCATCACCAAATTTCTTTAATATATGTAGAATGTCTGTGAGAGCACGAGGGAAAGAAAGATCGGGGAGATTGAAATTTTGGCTTTATTTCCTTTTCATGGACATATGAAAATTTCCCCTATTTTCTACTCTGCTTTCATTCCCTTCCCTTTCTCCTTTTTTATTTAATGGGAAAAAACCGCAAAAAACCTTAAATTAATATTTACCCTAAACTTTTTTCAGTGACACAAAAAATATCAAACTTATACCCGTTTTGTCAATGAGCATAGTTAAAAATCTGCTTAAATGAATGTCGGAAGGCAAATGATGTTGACAGCGTGCCCGCGTGACTTAAATGAAATAAAAACGACATTATTTTAGCTGAAAAACCATCCAACAGAATCTTAACAGAGGGTAAAATATGTCACGTATGTACAATTTTGGGGTGTTTTTTCATCACAAGAAAAAGTTTATGATATATGTGTCACAGTGTGGGCATAGTTTGAGGTTTTTTATGCCACAATAAAAAAACTTAGGATAAATATGTCACAATTGATATAATTTGAGATTTTCAGGAGCTTTTTCGCTTAATTCACTGTATAATCAAGTCACGTAATTGAGATCTTCCATAATAAAGTTACTCATAATATATCGTGGTAAACTATAAAGTTAATCTCAAATAATTACTTCTGTTATCGTATTCTGCAAAATTGTTAGTGATAGATAATTGTGGCATGTTTTTTTTTTTATGGTCGAGACATGTTAATCACTATAATATATAATCAAAGGTATGGCCTAAATAGGGACGACCTCGTCGACCCGAACGCTTCTTCCTCCTCTCTTCTTTGCTCTCGCTCCATTGGTGCATACCGACTTCAGAGCTGCGCCGCGGCGTCTCCACTCCTCCTCCAGCTGCGACGCATCTCTCTCCTCTTCTCTCAATCAAGCTGAACGGTACTCTCTCTCTCTCTCTCTCTCTCTCTCTCTCTCCCACACGCACGTGCGCTTCCGCGAGTGGTCGCGTCTTGCACACGACATGTTTGTGAGAATGCCAACGCGAGTCCTGACCACCGCCACTTCCGTTCACCAACAGCGACGAGGCTTGAAACCGTGGAGGGGTGGTCCCTGTTGCCCTGCTCTCGTCGCTATTGGGTCCTCGATTCCACTGCTCCCGCGGCGATTTCAAGCTGCTCGGTGCTCTCTCCTAAGTCGAGGTATTATCTCTCGGTTGATGTCTGAACCTCGTTTGCTTTTTGCTCTCTAGATGCATTGCGTAGCGTCCCGTGATAGCCCGTCCTCTCCGCAATCTGATTTTAGTTCGGGGGTTCTATGCCTGATCGGGTGGTACTGTTGATTGCTCGCTGGAATTAACGTTATTTGGTGTTCGTTTAGATGAGGGTGCGAAAGCAAAGGCGCCAACGCAAGGCGGTGAGGTTTTATACCGCCTGTTTCGGTTTTCGACAGCCTTTCCGAGTTCTCTGCGACGGGACTTTTGTGCACCACCTTGTCGTGAACAAAATTGCGCCTGCCGATAAAGCCCTCTCCGACATTCTCTCCGCTCCCGTCAAACTCTACACCACCAGGTTCGCAGTGTGTGCGTGTGCGTGTGATAATTGAGAATTAATGTTTATCCTCATGATTGTCTTGGACTATGCTAATTGTACGATTCTTAAGCTCATTCTATTCGAACGTTTATCCAAAATTCTACAGATGTGTGCATAATGAGTTGAGAAGGCTGGGAGACTCGCATGCCCATTCACTTGATGCTATAAAACATCTTGCCATTGCCAGGTTAGTGTTTTTTTTGTTTTCTCAAATAGAAAGGCGCCGACCAAGCTTGTAAATTAGAAATATGATTATCGTGTTTATTTCTGCCGAGAGTGGGTCTTTCTCAGGCCTCACTTGGCTTCCGGGAAAAGTTAATGGAGTTATGGTGGTTTAGCAAATTAAGAAGCATCTTGCATATTATTTGTCTTTTAACCTCCTGGGAAGCTAGGCTGTAGAATCTTGGTTATTAGTTTAAACTTGTGACGTGCTAATGATTTGCAAATTGTGCTTATCATACAAAAATTTATTTGATTTAGATGTGATCATGAGGGGAAGATGAAAGCTGACTGTTGCATCCTGGAGATTATTGGGGAAAAAAATCCCGAGCACTTCTTTGTTGCTACTCAGGACACTGATCTGCGGAGGAAGCTTCTGCAGGTTAGTAATGTCCCTAACCATTGTTGCTTTTACATGCAAAGTTGGGCATGCTGTTACTTTACTTACTGGGAGGAGGCATATGGACGATGAAGATTTGTCATCAGTGCAGGCTTCCATTCTGTGCACTACACCTTTTTTAACTTTTGGAATCAATCTGCTCTCTCTCTCTCTCTCTCTCCCTCCCTCCCCATATATTCAATTTGGACAAAATGCTCTCAAAGAAAATGTTGCTTAGACTTGATGTCACTTTTTTAGTTGATTTTGCACTTCCATCTTCCTATCATGCATACTAGTTGATGGCATTAACTATAAGTTGTTAATTTGTATTCCGGCAGATACCAGGAGTCCCTGCCATATATGGTCTTAGGAATGCTCTTTTTCTCGAGCAACCGTCCACATCTCAACGCCAATTTGTGAAAACTTCCGAAGAAGGACGGTTGCATATGACAGGGTTGGAGCATAAGATGTTGAAAAAGAGGACTGCTAATATTCTTGGGGCCAAGGAGTCAAAAGACTCTTCTGATGAACAGGAAGATTTTGGAGAGCAATATTTGGAGTCATCGGCTGTGACAAAGCCACAAGCAGTCAAAAAAGAAATAGGCGTAAAAGATAAAGTTCAGTTTAAGAGAAAGAAAGCGAAGGTGGCAATCTACGTTCTCTTATTATGTTTCTCATATATTATCTTCATCCCTCTTCGTTTGTCCAAGGTTATTTGTTGATTGGCCACATACTGTTCCTTTTCTGTCTTTGCATGTAAGGTCTTGTCTGTATCTGGTGATACGTTGATGTCAGGAACTTGCCTTGATTTTTACTGATGTTCAGATTGAGATATTAATGTGACTTCTATTAGAAATCTCTTGACTATATTTTCTGACTATATTGTTGATGGATTAGCAGAGGCATGCACTTAAATCAAAGATAATGTGTATGATCTCATTTGTCTTCTTTTTAAGGTGTTCATTTGTTGCTGCAGGGACCAAATCCGCTTTCTTGTTTGAAGAAGAAGACCCATGAAAATTCTAAACCTAGTTCTGAGAAGGTTGGTCTGCAGCGTTCTTCTTAATACCTCCTCCTCGCCTCCCAAACAAAAGTTAAAACCCAAACCGAATAAAAAGAAAATGGAGCTAAAGAGAAGTAACATTTTTTTATGCATGGTGATGCCCAGGAAGTAGTTTGGTTGTTATTTCTTTGCTCCTGATTTCCACTGGCAATAGCTGTCTATGTAGATCTCAATGTTTTCTCTTTCACTGTTTGTTTTAATTGTTATGCTGAGCATGAAAAGTTCAAGTGCCTCCTTCCTGTCACTGGTGGACCATAATCCAGATGCGTCTCTATAATTGTACTTTTTAATCCTGCTGATTTGTTTCGTGGGTGAATGATAATGTATTAGCTGTGTGCTACCTCTTTGTATTTTGTTTTCCCTCTTTCTATGTTATTATTACAAACCTACAAGGTGTAGAACCTGGCTTTGACAAAAATTCTGGAAGTTTTTTTGTAAATAAGATGCTGTTGAATGTCATGCCGTCACCTTTATTACATCCTCTGTGGTTGAATCTTTTGACTATATTTTCCTGAATGTAGTGACTGGCTGCTAAAACTCTCATAATCAGATCTTTTTACTTTCAGTATATTTCATCTTTCCAGTACTAATGTTGGCAGACGGCAGCTGTCTGAGCATTTCCTTCTTCACTAAAATTATATTTTTTCGAGATAAATTGTTTAGGATGATTGATAAGTTTGAACTCCTTTTCCCTAAACAACATTGGGAATGCACTTTTGCCATACGGTGCATCTTCCATGGTAGAGAGATCTGCAAAAAAAAAATGTTGCGTGCATAAATAATCTCTGCAGAAAACAGTGGCACGCTACTTGTTCTGCTTTCCAGGAAGATGTAATTGCAATCTCAGTTCTCTTTATTTGTCACCACAATGTGAGAGATTGATGTTTTAATGCAGGAAAGGAAGGATGGTGATGGTACCATCAGAAGTAGAGGTAGGAAACGAAAGAGGTCGCGAAAAGGGAAAACTTCTTCAGATACAGCTAATTAACTACGTGCTGGTCCAGCTTTTGAGGTTTTCACTTCCTTGAGAGTGCAGTTTTGGCGGCTTGCAAAGAAGTTTTGTATTGTGATGTTCCATATTCTTTGCACAATTTTAGATCATAGTCAACTCTCCGGTCCGGTTTTATTGCCCTTCTTCAGTGTTAAAATGTGGAGCTTTGTTCATTAGTTTGAATATATCTTGGAAGTGGATGATCTTCCTTCACCTCTCCCCTCTCTTTTCATCCTTATAGGCCCTACATCGTTTAACAGTTTAATAGACTGTATAACTAGTTAGAAATATGGTAGAAGAAATCTCCATATTCCCTACAGATACTTCAGAATAACGATTGTTTAAAGAAATGCATGTTGGGGTATCTGCTAAGAACTATGAGATGCTACCTGCAGGCTGAAGCATTTCTGATGTGCGGCAATCCCTCAAGTCCGCAAATAAGTGTGTTGATGTTAATTATCAGTACGAGCATGCTTTTTTGAAAGCACCGGTTTCCTTCTCCTTTCGTACTTGATTACTTTGAACACATGTCAGTGCTACTGGCTTGATTTTGGTTTGTTTCTTCCCCTTTTGGACTGTTTTTACGCTTGGTCAACGGTCCAAATGGATTCCGTTTATTGAAGTCTGAAGTCTATGCTTTCTTCACTGCATTCCCTGGACAACATCATGGGCCCTATCAGCTGCCGATTAACAGGTAGTGAAGGAAGAATTTTTATCACTTGCTCGTTAGGCACTCTGTATTGGAAGTACCCCTACCTCCGTTTTGAACACTTATTAATGGCTGATCTTTCAAGGCGGAGCATGCCATTTTTGACCAAGTGCGGTATTTAACTTTTTCAAAGCTCCATATCAGCCCTGTTTGTCAAGATTATTGTCTAGACTTGGCATGTTACTGATGTGGAAGACTAAACCAGTCACGGGATAAAATTCATCTCATGGTGGGTCCAATGTTTGGGTACTGTGATTCTCCAATCGACCATGAGATTCTCCTTTCTGTATGAGGCTTATAACTTACTGACAAGAAAGAAAGGCCCGAGAACCCCTCGACTCTCTCTTCAAGGAGGGCCATTAGAGGTGGCATGGACAGTGACCTGCATATTGCTATTATTGTCCTCATGGTCTGTGTTTATAAGAAAATGCCTGATCTCGATTCTCTGGTGTGTAGTGGTCCTCATAAAGTCTCTTACCATTTCCATCATGGATTACCTGTAATCTCGCCGAGGCGGGATCGTTTTAGTCCACTCTGTTGCGAGGGCTCCTAAAGTTCACCGTCCCATCGAGCTCTAGGGTCATCGATCCAGGTGCCCAAATCAGTCGGCGACCCGATTGTTAAGTCCTTGGGTGGGGATTTCTTGCTCATCTTTTTCACTTTCATGATATTGAAGGGTTGTGTGCTGCTCATGCGATTTCTACGACCACCAAGCATAAGGCATGAAAGCAAAGCCACCGATCGTTCTGGTTTCATTTGCCGTATTACTTTGTCCTCGTCGACTCTCCTGAGAGACTTATTGTATGACCCATTCAAAGGGGCGCAAGCGGTCATTTAGATGGGGACAGAGGGAGTCAACATATGAGCATATATGCACAAATGTCAAGTCACTTAGGCCCCGCGAAAATGAGGATGGTACTCTCTCGATCAGACATAGTTTGTGACCATAGCACAGTAATTAAACAATTTGGTAAGTCTAATATCCTATTAGATTACGCATAAAATCTTCATGTCCTGTCCTACCCGGAAAATCTCGAGTCTAACACCCCTTTAATCTCAAAGACTCCGGTCTCGTCTCAAAGAGATGAAAAGCGAGTCCCCGTTTCACGCCAAAGCCTTCTTCACGACCTCATGCGGTCGTCGGCAGCGTTGTGGCGGGTGGCTCCGCTGTCGTCAGCTCCTCCGTCATGGCTGAGGATGACGAAAATGAAGATGCCCGGTCGCGGTCGTTAAAAAGAGGAAATTCGGAAAATTTGAAACCATCATTGCCTCTAATTTTGCTATCACGGGTCTCTTTCCTTGCCCCTAGAAAGTCTTTGCTCTAGATGATAGCAAGACCCACTCCTTCTACCAAAATCCGGCCGAGAGGCCCCCCACGTTTTCACACTCACCGAGACCCACTCCTTCTACCAAAATTTCTCCCCCAAAAGAGAAAAAAGGAATAGGGCAAATATTACAAAAGAAAATCTAAAATTATGCCTAATGTGACATAAACATCTCCAATTTTTTTGCGTCACCAAAAACCCTAAACTAATTTTAACTTAAATTTATACATGTGCGACATATATACTTTTTATTTTCATTTCATCAAAAGTATATTAGTTGCATTGATGTGAGCTCAGATATTTGAGTTGCAATGGACAAATTTCAGATTTTTAGTGATAAAAAAAGTTCGAAAGTATTTACATCAGAATGGAAATAGTTTAGGAGGTTAATTTAGGATGTTTTTTTGGCCCAATTCCCTAAAAAACCCTCAACTTTAGCCTTTGTCCCAATTATATTTCAAACTTTTTTTTGTCTCATAAAAAACCCCAAACTTTTACTTTTGTCCCAAATCTACCCTGTTAACTTTTCGTCCAATTTTTTAATATTATTTTTATTTTTTCGAATTTTTTTATTTTTCCTTTCCTTTTCTTTTTTTGTTTCACCTTCAACCTCTAGCCGGCCGCTGGCGAGGCTCGGCTCGCCGGCGTTGGGCGAGGCCGACCTCGCCAATAGCCGGCGGGGTCGAGCCTCGCCAACCACGGGCGAGGACAGCTTTGGCGAGGGCTCGGCCCCGCCAAGAACCGGCGAGAGGTCGGCCTCGCCCGGCAACGGTGAGGCTCGGCCGAGGCCGAACCTCGCTGGTTGCCGGGCGAGGCCGAGCCCTCGCCCGGCAGCATGGCGAGGCCGAGCCCTCGCCGCAGCATGGCGAGGCTCGGCCCCGCCGGCTATTGGCGTGGTCAAGAGGCCTCGCCCAACGCGGCTTGAGGCTCGCGAGCCTCGCCGGCTACCGTGGGCGCAGCAAGCGAGTCGGCCTCGCCCGGCTCCGGCGAGGTTCGGCCTCTATGGCCCGACCTCCACCAGTTGCTTGGTGAGGCCGACCTCGCCCTTCCACGGCGGGCCGAGCCCTCGCCAGGATGTCCTCGCGAGTGGGTGGCGAGGCTCGGCCCCGCCGGCTATTGGTGAGGTCGGCCTCGCCCAACGCCGGCGCGTAAGTCGAGCTAAGCGCTCGCCGGCGGCGGGGCCAAGCTCGCCGCCCCGCCTACGGCCAGGTCATGGGACCGACGGCTGACCAAGCCGAGGTTGAAGGTGAAACAAAAAAAGAAAAGGAAAGGAAAAAAAAAATTCGAAAAAATAAAAAATAATATTAAAAAATTGGACGAAAAGTTAACAGGGTAGATTTGGAACAAAAGTAAAAGTTTGGGATTTTTTATGAGACAAAAAAAAATTTGGGATATAATTGGGACAAAGATTAAAGTTGAGGGTTTTTTAGGGAATTTGCCATGTTTTTTTATGGTATTGACTCAAAAGAATAAAGAAAAAACGAGACTCCCGCTCGACCTAATTTGATGAATAGTAACGCCACGAATCTTCTTGTTTTTTTGGCCCCAATTTTGAGCCTTTATTTCTTTTTAAATTTGAAGGGAAGGGAAGGGAAGGGAAGGGAAGAAGTGTGGCTGACAACTGACAGACATTCAGCTTGATCCTTGGTTACGGTCCCTCGTTCCTATAAGGGAAAATACCACTAAAAATTCTAAACTATATTAATTATGATAAATTTACCTTGTACTTTTTTTTGTGACACGAAAAATCTCAAACTATGTCACTTGTGATAAATTTACCCTGAACTTTTTTTTGTGATACGAAAAACCCCATACTATGCTACTTATGACATATTTATCCCATAATACTTTGGCCCAAGGACATTTTCGTTTTTTTTCTTTCTTCTCTCTTCCCTCCTCCACAGTTTAGGGTTTTTCGTGTCACAAAAAAAAGTTCAGGATAAATTTGTCACAAGTGGCATAGCTTGGAGTTGTTCATGTAACAAAAAAAAGTTCAAAGTAAATTTATCACAAGTGACATAATTTGACGTTTTTGATGGTATTTTTTCTTCCTATAATTATGCTCGACTCGTTTCCCTTCTTCTCATTTGCTCTCTCTCCCTCTCTATTTTCGACGATCGCGGCGACGTTAGTTTTCGCCATTTGTTTTCAAGAAAGGCAAGATGGTTCGAATGGGACGGAGGGACAGAGGAGCTTCATTTCACAGCTCGCCACGAAACCCATGAAGGCAATAATGAGCGTGCAGCGAGACAGAGAGGCGCATGCCCCATAAAGGGTAAAAAGATGAATTTTCTCTTTCTCTGCCATTTTTTAAAACTAACATGTCGTGGTTTTTCGTGAAAAGTGGATCTCCTTTCTGGGACATGATGATGATAAAAATTGTAAAATGGGATTGGGCCCATGTGAAGGTTTTTGCAAGCAAAGCAAGAAATCAAGATCAGTAATGATAAGACCCCTCCCCGCCTACTTGGACGATCAAAACATTAACATCGCCAGACCGTCGAATGATGCACACTGGGGCTTGCGGTCATGTCTTGTCTCACCGACAATTCCGCAGTACCTCCCCCGAAACCTTAATGTTATAGTACGTGACATCTCATCAATGAGTCTTCTGTCCTTGTTTTTTCGCTCGCTGATGCGGCCAAGCAAAAATGGGAAACGCACGAAATAGATCATACAGGTCCGTTTTTTCCTTTAATTACGAGGGCATACCGCATCGCCGAGTCCCGAGCTTTCAAACTCGCTTGACCATGAAGATCTTGGAATCGACCGTTGTCGGCCTATGCCCCCCCGTCGTCAATTATTACAGAGTGATTTTAGAAGCAAGCCGTGTGAAAGTTAGGCTCCAATGGACCCTAATGCCTCGTAGAGCACTTGTCTTGGATTTTGCCCCAAAGGCCAAATCACTTCCCATCGATAAGGTAAGGATGAACAACTATAGACACCTAATTTTGACTAGATTTCCCTGATTATCTAACTAAATAATTATAAAAAATATTAAAGTACAAGGGAACAGCTTTTGCCCTAATAATTTAAGGTCCGGAACAGTTTTCAATGGTACAAGAGAGAGGCTAAAATTATATTAATAGGTTTTGCAATCAAGGGTAGCTTTCGAGATATTTATAACTAAGGTTCGGTTTATTTCGTGAAAAATAATCAATTTAAAAATTATTTACTTACAAA